TACTTAACATTCATATACCACTTAATATGTGGATTAATCCCTATAAAAATTCTATTTTCTAGAGAAACAGAAACATTTAAGGTCTCGAACCTATTTAATTTTCATACTATGACGGTGTATGATGCATCTATGCATTAAAACAAAAATTTCATTTTTTATTAATTTTCATGAAATATGTGAGCTAACCCCTATGAAAAAGCTGAATTTTCCATTGAAAACTATATATACTATTTACAATATTTCGTGTTGTTTAAAAAAAACCTAAACGCACTCCAAATTTTTATATATGTTTGCTAAACTTATCTTTATGGTATATTGGAATTATTTCTAATTTTCCAATCATTAATTTACTTAACATTCATATACCACTTAATATGTGGATTAACCCCTATAAAAATTCTATTTTCTAGAGAAACGGAAACATCTAAGGTCTCGAACCTATTTAATTTTCATACTATGACGGTGTATGATGCATCTATGCATTAAAACAAAATTTTCATTTTTTATAATTTTTCTTCAAATATGTGGGCTAACCCCTATGAAAAAGCTGGATTTTCCATTAAATACCATATATACTATTTACCATATTTCGTGTTGTTTAAAAAAAACCTAAACGCACTCCAAATTTTTATATATGTTTGCTAAACTTATCTTTATGGTACATTGGAATCATTTCTAATTTTCCAATCATTAATTTACTTAACATTCATATACCACTTAATATGTGGATTAACCCCTATAAAAATTATATTTTCTAGAGAAACGGAAACATTTAAGGTCTCAAACCTATTTAATTTTCATACTATGACGGTGTATGATGCATCTATGCATTAAAACAAAAATTTCATTTTTTATTAATTTTCATGAAATATGTGAGCTAACCCCTATGAAAAAGCTGGATTTTCCATTGAATACTATATATACTATTTACAATATTTCGTGTTGTTTAAAAAAAACCTAAACGCACTCCAAATTTTTATATATGTTTGCTAAACTTATCTTTTTGGTACATTAGAATCATTTCTAATTTTGCAATGATTAATTTACTTAACATTCATATACCACTTAATATGTGGATTAACCCCTATAAAAATCCTATTTTTTGGAGAAACAGAAACATTTAAGGTCTCGAACCTATTTAATTTTCATACTATGACGGTATATGATGCATCTATGCATTAAAACAAAATTTTCATTTTCTTATAATTTTTCTTGAAATATGTGGGCTAACCCCTATGAAAAAACTGGATTTTCCGTTAAATACTATATATACTATTTACCATCTTTCGTGTTGTTAAAAAAAAAACTAAACGCACTCCAAATGTTATATATGTTTTCTAAACATAAACTTATGGTACATGGGCATCTTAGTTTTCCAATGATTAATTTATTTAACATTCATATATATCTTAATATGTGGATTAACCCCAATAAAAATCCTATTTTCTGGAGAAACGAAAACATCTAAGGTCTCAAACCTATTTAATTTTCATACTATGACGGTGTATGATGCATCTATGCATAAAAACAAAATTTTCATTTTTTTATAATTTTTCTTAAAATAAGTGGGCTAACCCCTATGAAAAAGCTGGATTTTCCGTTAAATACTATATATACTATTTACCATCTTTCGTGTTGTTAAAAAAAAATCTAAACGCACTCCAAATTTTTATATATGTTTGCTAAACTTATCTTTATGGTACATTGGAATTATTTCTAATTTTCCAATCATTAATTTACTTAACATTCATATACCACTTAATATGTGGATTAATCCCTATAAAAATTCTATTTTCTAGAGAAACTGAAACATTTAAGGTCTCGAACCTATTTAATTTTCATACTATGACGGTGTATGATGCATCTATGCATTAAAACAAAATTTTCATTTTCTTATAATTTTTCTTGAAATATGTGGGCTCCCTATGAAAAAATTGGATTTTCCGTTAAATACTATATATACTATTTACCATCTTTCGTGTTGTTAAAAAAAAACCTAAACGCACTCCAAATTTTTATATATGTTTGCTAAACTTATCTTTTTGGTACATTGGAATCATTTCTAATTTTCCAATGATTAATTTACTTAACATTCATATACCACTTAATATGTGGATTAACCCCTATAAAAATCCTATTTTTTGGAGAAACGGAAACATTTAAGGTCTCGAACCTATTTAATTTTCATACTATGACGGTGTATGATGCATCTATGCATTAAAACAAAAATTTCATTTTTTATAATTTTTCTTCAAATATGTGGGCTAACCCCTATGAAAAAGCTGGATTTTCCATTAAATATCATATATACTATTTACCATATTTCGTGTTGTTTAAAAAAAACTTAAACGCACTCCAAATTTTTTATATGTTTTCTAAACATAAACTTATGGTACATGGGCATCTTAGTTTTCCAATGATTAATTTATTTAACATTCATATATATCTTAATATGTGGATTAACCCCAATAAAAATCTTATTTTCTGGACAAACGGATCATTTAAGGTCTCAAACCTATTTAATTTTCATACTATGACGGTGTATGATGCATCTATGCATTAAAACAAAATTTTCATTTTCTTATAATTTTTCTTGAAATATGTGGGCTAACACCTATGAAAAAAATGGATTTTCCGTTAAATACTATATATACTATTTACCATCTTTCGTGTTGTTTAAAACAAACCTAAACGCACTCCAAATTTTTATATATGTTTGCTAAACTTATCTTTATGGTACATTGGCATCATTTCTAATTTTCCAATCATTAAGTTACTTAACATTCATATACCACATTATATGTGGATTAACCCCTCTACAAATCCTATTTTTCGAGAAACGGAAACCTTTAAGGTCTCAAACCTATTTAATTTTCATACTATGATGCATCTATGCATTAAAACAAAAATTTCATTTTTTATAATTTTCTTGAAATATGTGGGCTAACCCCTATGAAAAAACTGGATTTTCCATTAAATACTATATATACTATTTACCATCTTTCGTGTTGTTTAAAAAAAACCTAAACGCACTCCAAATTTTATATATGTTTTCTAAACATAAACTTATGGTACATGGGCATCTTAGTTTTCCAATGATTAATTTATTTAACATTCATATATATATCTTAATATGTGGATTAACCCCAATAAAAATCATATTTTCTGGAGAAACAAAAACATTTAAGGTCTCAAACCTATTTAATTTTCATACTATGACGGTGTATGATGCATCTATGCATTAAAACAAAATTTTCATTTTTTATAATTTTTCTTAAAATATGTGGGCTAACCCCTATGAAAAAGCTGAATTTTCCGTTAAATACTGTATATACTATTTACCTTCTTTCGTGTTGTTAAAAAAAAAACTAAACGCACTCCAAATTTTTATATATGTTTGCTAAACTTATCTTTATGGTACATTGGAATCATTTTTAATTTTCCAATCATTAATTTACTTAATATTCATATACCACTTAATATGTGGATTAACCCCTATAAAAATTCTATTTTCTAGAGAAACGGAAACATTTAAGGTCTCGAACCTATTTAATTTTCATACTATGACGGTGTATGATGCATCTATGCATTAATACAAAATTTTCATTTTTTATAAATTTTCATGAAATATGTGAGCTAACCCCTATGAAAAAACTGGATTTTCCGTTAAATACTATATATACTATTTACAATATTTCATGTTGTTTAAAAAAAAACTAAACGCACTCCAAATTTTTATATATGTTTGCTAAACTTATCTTTTTGGTACATTGGAATCATTTCTAATTTTCCAATGATTAATTTACTTAACATTCATATACCACTTAATATGTGGATTAACCCCTATAAAAATCCTATTTTTTTAGAGAAACGGAAACATTTAAGGTCTCGAACCTATTTAATTTTCATACTATGACGGTATATGATGCATCTATGCATTAAAACAAAATTTTCATTTTTTATAATTTTTCTTCAAATATGTGGGCTAACCCCTATGAAAAAACTGGATTTTCTATTAAATACTATATATACTATTTACCATATTTCGTGTTGTAAGGCACTCCAAATTTTATATATGTTTTCTAAACATATATTTATGGTACATGGACATCATTTTTAGTTTTCCAATGATTTATATATTTAACATTCAGATATCTTAATATGTGGATTAACCCCAATAAAAATTATATTTTCTGGAGAAACCGAAACATTTAAGGTCTCAAACCTATTTAATATTCATACAATGTCGGTGTATGACGCAGCTATGCATTCAAACAAAAATTCTATTTTTTTAGAAATTTTCATGAAATATGTGGGCTAGCCCTTGTGAAAAAACTGGATTTTACGTTAAATCCTATATACACTATTTAGCATTTTTCATGTTGTTTAAAAATACCTGAACGCACTCCAAATTTTTATATATGTTTGCTAAACTTATCTTATCTTTATGGTACTTAACATTCATATACAACTCAATATGTGGATTAACCCCTATAAAAAATCATATTTTCTGGAGAAACGGAAACATTTAATGTCTCAAACCTATTTAATTTTCATACTATGACGGTGTATGATGCATCTATGCATTAAAACAAAATTTTCATTTTTTTATAATTTTTCTTGAAATATGTGGACTAACCCCAATGAAAAAGCTGGATTTTCTATTAATTACTATATATATATTATTTATCATCTTTCGTGTTGTTTAAAAAATACACGAATCAAATCAGATAATATGGTTATTTAGGGTATAAATATTCAAACTCGTTTCAGATACATTGATTATTTGATTATTTTCAAGTTTTTAAACATCAGAACCGAATCTTCCTGAATCCGGGAGGACCCAACTCTAACCTGATGCAAAACTTTGTAATATCCGAATGGATCCTAATTTCAAAAGTTGAAAAATCTTATATCTGAAAGAACCGATTCTTATCCGAATGGGTACCCAAATGTTGAGGTTTAGGTGACGATGTGGCCAGACTTTAATTTGGGTAATTAGGATTTTTCCGAATTATTATTCATAAATAGATGGGCTCATACAATTTCAGTGGGCTGTGATTTCATACCCAGCGCAGTTTGATCTAAAACAAGTTAGCTTAATAGAAAGCCTAAATAAGAAAAGAAAAAATGACTAAAGTCAAGACAATGATCTTCTCCGGCGAGTCGACGGCGTTGATTTATCATCGACGGTGGTGGCTGAGCCAGGACTTTCAGACGTATCAGAGCTACTAACATCTCCAACACGATCTCTGTCTTTACCAGTCCAAAGCTTCGAGAAAATACGAGACATCACAACTCCTTTAGCCTTGTTCTTCTCGGAACCATTTGTCTTCTCTCTCGTCGTGGCAGTTGTCGTTGTTGTCTCCTCCGTGGCCGTGACTGAGTCACACTCTTCTTCCGTAGTCGTCCTCGAGCTCCCGTGAGAGCCGCTGGGTGGAAGAGAAGGTTTAGCGTTGGTGGCGCGAGCCTGCTCGAAGAAGAGTATCTGCACAACTACACGTAAAGGTAACCGCTCGTTTTGCACGGCGTGAGCACATGCCTCCGGTGATAGTTTCCGGCAATCCATTAGTCTGCATATGGATTTCTTCTCGCTCTTTGCCATTTCTGGATGTTGCTGTAAAACCATATAGATACATGTTAAGCTAATACAAAATCAGATAAAAGAGAGTAGTACTAGTAACAAGCCCTGCAGATTGTCCAAACCGAACCAGTCGAAACGAACCAAAATTTTTGGTTTTCAGTTCGGTTAGATTTTAAATTTGGTTCAGTTGGGAAAGCTTCATATTATTTAGGTTATTCGGTTGGTTCGGTTTTTCGGTTTTCTTGGTGAGTTTGACTATTTTTTACTGAAAAAATGCAAAATTAACTAAAATAAACAATATTAACCAAAATAATCGAGCCATTAAATAATCAAAATAAATCAAAAGTATCTGATTTAAATATATATATATATATATATACCGAAATCCACAAATAGTTATTTATGAAAAAGTATAAAACCGAAATTAATCTAAACCGAACCAACCAAACCATTTTTCAATCTACTTTGGTGAAATTGTGGCCGAACCAAACTAACCGAAAATATCTGAACCAAAATATCGAATAAACCGAAACAGCAGGCCTAATAGTAACTATCTTTGAACTAGATTTGAGAGCAGAAGTTACCTTTAAGAACATGTCGATGGCACGGTAAACTCCATCGTGTGATGATCTTGGGAAACACGAAACCTTTTCCGCAACTGCAATGAACTTCAAAGGAGAGAGATTCGGTTCGACTCTCGAGATCTCAGCCAAGTATCCATCAATCAACTTTGCCACAGCTCCTCTCGAGCTGTCTGAAACAAACACATCTCCTTGGTTCATGTCTGAACAAACAAGCTCGTCTCTCTTCTCTGTTTGTGTAATAAACTCATCAATTAACTTCTCAACAATGTCAATGTCATAGACTGTTTCACATCCCTCCTCTGAAGCTCTGATCAAAAGATCATCCACATTTGCTTCCTCTAGCTTCTCTCCTATTCTCCTACTCAACTCTCTCCTCACTTCTTCTCCACAGTCCATAGAAACAGATGACTTCAAAAGCTTGATCAAGAACCCACAAGAAACACTCTGTTTCTCACTAGGCAACAACGAGATCAATGTCTCTAACAAAGATCTTTGTTCATCATCATGATGATCTGTTTGGATTCTCTTCGCTGCATATACCTCTAGAGCTTCTCCTATAACCTCAGGTGAAACTGAAACACCACCTTTTCTTCTTATACTCGAAATAACTCTTTTGTATAAATCTATACTAAGCTCGGCGAGATCCTCGACCCACCAATCTCTAGGCACACCATTGTTAGTAACCTTTCTTCTGTTATACGTATAAGACCAATCTACTCTCGCTGGATCCATTGCAACTTTTAAAGCTATCGACTCCAAACACCGTACATCGATCTTAACATCTTGTGACCACGGATGAAACATTCTTGTCGTCTGTAGAACTATAATGGAGTCTTTCCAGCTTCTCAAAACGCTAGAGTTCAAGAATACCTCTATCTTGTAAACAAGATTCCCGGTTTCAATAGATTCATACATCTCTAGATACTCAGCAGCGCAACGTGCGGCTACAACGTTGTAAGCGTTGAGAGTTACGGTCATTCCGTAGCAGAACTTGGCGCATATCTCAAACGCTGGTGGTCCTCCAGGGATGTCAGGAATACTTATTTCATCATCTGGTTCATTGATTTTTGCAGCTATTAGTTTTTGAAGACGAGCGCTTTTGGACAGAAGAGGAAACTGTTTTTGAAAAAACAAACCAAAGTAAGCTAAAAGATACAAGGGTGTTTCTTGGTTTATGAGGTTTTAATTTACCTTATGGAGATAGAACTTCACGTCTCCAACATTTACTACTACATCTGTGGCTAAGTCAGATGCTACATACCTGTAAGTAGCCAGAAATGTAAACATTTAATCTGGAAAATAACCACTCTTGTTCTCAAAAAAAAAAAAAAATAATAACCACTCTGATCATGGAAGATATTTTATTTTACCTTATGCAATCTTCATCAGACTGAAATGAATCAGGTTTAGATCCAAGTTTCATAAACTTCATTTCTGAAGATTGTTGTGCTCTCTTCTTGTCTTAAGCTGAACCTGTGAAATAGTTGTAGTCATTAGAAGAGCATTAAGGATTCAAAATCTGAGATCCTTAATTGGATGCAAAAGGTATAAACAAGAAGAGTGTTGTTGAAGCATAAGCTTGTAGACTTTAAGACTTAAACTGAAAGAGAAGAAATCTATATTGCTTATTTAGTTGCTAACCCTTATAAGAGATTAAAGGGGGAAACATGAAAGACCAAAACACAAAAGAGAGATGCTCCACTTGCTTATAAATCCGACACGTTGCGTATTTCTTTATTACCAAAGTCTCTGTTTCTTTTTTCAATGTTCTGTTCTTTGTACAGAATCTTTTTATCAGGTTCAGAAAAAATCAAAGGAAGAAGAAACAAAAACCCAGAACCCTAGACAAAAGTGGGAATATTATCCGGTTTAAGAATAAAGGCAGTGTTCTTGGTTAGTGTCAAGGAACAAAAGCATTTAAATTAAAGAAAAATAATGGAGAGTTGCCAAAGGAGGAAAGAAAATATTTATGTTTTGTGAATGTATAAAATTATAAGTTGCCAAAGGAGGAAAGAAAGTACTTATGTTTTGTGAGATGTAAAAATTATCAGAAACCTGTGGATTTTTCTAATCAGATCGACCCATTTATAGAAAACATGGTCTTTTCAAGATACCAAAATATGTGCTTCAAGTTTAAAATTTAACAGAAACTAAAAACTAAAAATGTCTAGATATCAGTAGAGAAGTTTACTCCCAAACCTAGAAAATACGTGATTTATAAGTTTTTACATGGACTTTATAACGGGGCAAGTAAAAAAACTGCAAGAAATGAATATGAATCAAGGAGAATTCATACCTTAGGTGGAAAGAGAAGCCTTCTTTGTAATTACGGAGTTAAAAAAACATAAAGACAGGGGGAAAAAGGTGTGGGCTGCTGTTTGTACACAGAGAACTCTAATCCAAGAGAGATCCGACAAAACACAAAACAGCAATCCAACAAAAAAAAGTAAGAAACCCTAAAAAGTTTAATAAAAAACAGAGAGAATCAAAGAAGATGAGCTGTTTTCTTCAATCTTCATCTTTCTCAACTTAGTGCAAATCTGAAACCCTCAGAATGTTCTGTCCCTCTTTATCTACTCTCTCTCTCTCCTACCAGTGTCCCACTCTCTGAATCAGCACCACCGCCTCCACCACTCAGCCTACCTTTATTTCATTTGATTTTATATGAATAAAAAAAACTGTTTTTGTATATTTACCCAGGATTTGTCTCAGTGACGTGTTGTTATTTTTTTCTTTTATGTAATGGATACAAACTGAAACCAATGGTTTATAAAAGTGTAGTATAGTAGTAGGAAGTAGCTACGATTTTAATGAGTGTATTTATAAACTCATTCACGCTAAATCTGACAAGTAAATCTGTGCTCTGCTTCCTTTTATCAAAATTCACATCCTGACTCGATAGATAATAGTTCTAGTGAATATGGTCATTCATGTATCTATGACAAGTTGACAACTAGTTTGGTTTGATGGGTTGACCGAGGAAACTAATAGTACTCCGTAGTATGTTTTGGGTCAACGTAAACATGAATATATGAGGATAATAGTAACTATCTTTCATTTATAACCAAAAAACAAGAGAAAAACACTATTTATATTTCTAAAAAAAATAGTCTTGATCTCTTTAATAAATGATAGGCAATAAAACAAGCGAACCAGTCTTTTGCTCTAGTGGACAAACGGGGACCGCACGCAACATTTTTTCTGTAATAATATATGCTCCATATTTTCTTACAAAGTAACTACGTAAAAAAACTAGTTATATAACATCAAGCTGGTTAGCTTTTCTCTGCCTTTTAATTCTCTCTACAGACACCAACACTGAAATCCAAAAGGATCCAATGTCATTTAAAAATATGTTTCTGGACTACTATCATACTTCATATTTTAACATGGTCTTGTACCACGTCACCCTCGGGCGCATCCGCATGAATGTGCTTCAAACTTTATATGGAATCTGATGGTCATCACCCTAGTTTGTAAGGCAACGTAACCTATAGATGTTTTATAATGCGATTTAAGAAAAAGGTGAAGCATATTTATTTGCTTATAATTTGTTTTTATCAAGTCATTATGCACGATACATTAACTTTGTTTACATAACTACATCATCGGCTAGCTCTGGTCGAAGTTTTGAAATGTTAAACAGTACTATTAATTATTAATATAAATAAAAAAAAACATGAGAGCTTCATTTTTGAAGCATGATAGTTTAATTAAAATCAAAAGGAGAGCACATTAAAATGAGGGTCACATGATTATAGAGAGAGAGATAAGTAGGGCTGGGCACTATTACTTGATACCCGGTTCATACTTGCTACTTGACTCGGTTTGGTTTGAAAAAACAAGTACTTGGCATAAACAAGTCGAGTAACAAGTAAACAAATTTTATTACTCGTAAGTACAAGTCAAGTATCAAATCTATTTTTATTTTTAATTACTTGACTTGTTACTTGATTTGTTACTTGGTTCGTTA